TCTAAATCAAAGGGAGTAGGAGGACAAAGGTAGCAGTCTCATAGGCAGGATACAGTTGTGCAGATCTAAGCGGCTTTTAGCAGTGTACCGAGGTACTAGTTTCACAGTGTCCTTGTCAGCATTTAAAAACTGTGTGTAATTTCAAGATAAATACGTACAAAGGCATTTCCTTGAAAGTCATTTTAATTTAAGAATTAATCGGGTGTGAAAAATTGAAGGAAGTCTTAAAGTACTTAGATGGTTTAATAGGACCTGGAGAAAACTGATATTCTATGCCCATTTCTTTTTCTCTCCTAAAGAAAGTACAAATATCAGATTCTAAAATGTGTTGCATTTCTTCTAGAGATTTTGGAGGGATCTTAAACTCTACAGGCTTACCAAAGTCTACATATATAAGTTCATGACTTTGCCTTCTGAACTGTGGGAGTCTGAGGTAGGAGGTCTCTGACACCTGGAACTTAAGTAGTTTTTGTTTCTATGGTATGTGTTCTAGAGTTCTTTGGAACTCTGAGTCAGGAAAATAGTTTCATGTTGTGATACCAAGAATATATTGCAATGTATACAACTCCTGATTCTCTTAGAGGGAAGTAATAGATATTTTTATTCCCCAGTTATAAAACATCCCAGCTGTTTGGTCATTGAATGCGATTGTGTTTTCAAAACCCATTATTTCTCAACAGAATATATCTTGGTTGTTACTTCTGAATAATGACTGAGCTGGTGGTTTTGAGGAGCTATAAACCACATTCTCTCTACCTGCCCAAGAACTAAGAACTTGCCAAACTAAGATATATAGATGTGCGTGTGTGTGTGTGCATGTGTATTTTACGTGTGATATTTGGTTGAAAGATAGGGGTAGTAGAGGAAAGAGTGGAAATTTTAAAGACTTTCAAGCTCTAGTGGCAAAGGCAGGTGACTCAGAATTCTGTATTTCATTGACCTAGTGGGATAAATAGTTTTTAAGAGAATTCTTTGTGTTTCTGATCAATCAGTTTCATTTCTACTCCCTGTCCACTGCCATTCTCTTCACCATCTCACACTTATCTCTTTGATTCAGTTTCCCTCTTTAGGTATAACTAGAAAAGTGATGTTCCTATTGCTTTGGTTACAATCGTGGCTAATGGAATGCTTTCAGTAAATTCTGTTTCCCTGCATCTTCTTTTACGTTGTATCCCAAGGTCTGTTTGCATCTGCTTCTTCTTGTTTGACAAGCCAGAGTGCCTTCTCCCAGTGTCTTGTCACATTATCTGTTAGGCTCCAGAACCAATGTGCTTTTCTTTTAAAAATATTACAGATGCACTTGGGGGAATGTAAAGAAGGGCCTGAGGGTTTCTGAAAGGAGCGCTGACATAAACAAACACTGTCAAATGAAACTGCACAGGACCATTTGCATCTGAATTTGAACTCCCAAACTTTACTGGTTTTCTTTTGCTCATCTTGGACCCCAGACTGTTCCATGGATTCTCTCTCTTCTTGAATTTTTCCTGTGGCGTGATGTTACCTGTAGTGTGTGACATCCTGATATCCTGCCCTGGATTCTAATGGGCACCCTTGACTTCCCACCCAGCCTGCTCAGTGCCTTTGTCTTTGTCTGAGTCTGGAATTTGTAATACAGGACAGCTCAGCCCTGTCCAGCCTACACTGGGCAATTCTTGGTTCCCGGTCTTCGGTTTACCTTTGATTCTGCCATTCAGAGGTGGTATTGGGAAGCTGTGTGCTGGATCTCTTTTCTATTTTTTTGGAAGCATCTCTTTCAGTATTAATCTCTGTTCTGATTTCATAACCAAACTGACACTTCCATGCATACTCTGTTTCATATCCATATCATTCATTGACTCATGATTCTTTATTTTATTGATCTGTTGGCATGAAATTATTTTCAGCTAATTATTTGTGTTATATTGGTCTTTATAATCATGATAGCCTATTAGCCAGCAAATATTCATTATAATCATGTGTGTGTGTTTTATCAATTATAATTTTTATTTTCAAGTATCATTAATTCATTTTTACTTCTGACTTTGTGAAGTGCTTGTCTTCTGACTTTGTCCATGGTCCAAGATGTTGCATCCAAGACAAGAAAATCTCAGTTCTCTCCAGAATCCCAGTATCTCTATGCCACTCAGTTTCTGGCAAACCATCTCTGGGAGGTGGATTGAGGGAAGTTCCTCATCTTATCTGAGTGTTGCCCATTGAGGGCTGGGCATAATAGATACAGTCTTTAAGATTTAAGATGGCCACCTATTTGGGACTGGAGAGGATGCTAGATGTTGTGTCTTAGAGAGGTGCCAAAGCATGTGCTAGGACCACAAGCCCACTCCAAATGATGATGGTGTAAGGAAGAGGAGTCAGGGTAAAGCCTTGGAACACTCTTGTCTGCCAAAGTATTGCTTGGGAACATCCTTGCTCATTCCGCTTGCACAGACCACCTGCTACACACCCTGATAGCACCAGATACCCATCAACCATTGCTGTCACCTCACAGTGAGTAATATGTATCATTAGTAGAATTGGTTGTGTAATGTCTGGCTTATTCTCCAGACAGAAAGCTCTAGGAGGGCAGATACCAGGTCTTTTCCTCATCACTGTATCCCCAGAGCCAAGCACAGTAATTAGAAACATATTAGGAACACAGTGCATATCTACCGAATGACTGAATAATTGAAGGGAAGAAGGAAAGAAGGAGAATGTTTCCTTCTTGGAGTACATGCATCTCATTCCCCACTTTTCTGTCTAATGAGGGATTTCTGCCAAATGTTCTTGATTGTCTCTTACTAGGCCTTATTCCTCCCTGATGAAGTCAAGTGAATTTCTGTGTTAAGAGGAGACAGTGATTGGCACATGTTCCTTGATCAGGTAGAGATAATGCGTCAGAAGTCTTAAGCAAATAGAATCCACTCTCCTTGAGCAGTGCGTGAATGTGATCCTGAGCAGAAATGTTTGCTCTGTAGACTCAATATTTCCCTCCAGCGTACTAGTCCAAGATCTAACACGGGCACAGCGAGTATTAGGAAGTTCCTTGTTATCACATTTCTAAGCCATACCATCCAAAATTACTTTTATCAGGAGTTAAGATGACATTTTGATTCTCATCTACCTGGCTCCTTTTTATCTCTCTCTTAATTGGTTTTGAACATGGGCAAGAAACAGGGGTCTCATTTCTTTGGCTACCTAAAACCCCAGTAGTTCTTATGCATAGAGAGAATCCAGAAAAAATCAACATAGATACATCATGGGTTGAAAAGTTTTGGCTCCAAAGGGGAAAATGAGATTCAAGACTGGACACAGCATAAAGCTTTGAGAACAAAGGATTTTCCTTGGATTCTGAAAGCCAGTGAGCCTCCTGAAATTGTGTGCAAAATGTTCTGTGTATAGGATCCAGAGGTTTCATCAGATTATCAAAAAAGTTGCTGAACCTCTATTTTAAGGGGGCTTAGACAGACCTTGAGTTTGTCTCCTGACAACCAGAAATTTGGCCTCATCTTCCCATCCTCCCCCTTGCCTGAAGTGTCTTGCAGATCCCCTCATCAGACCCTTCAGAGCTCAGTTTGAGCCCCAGCCTGCGCTGCCTTCCCCTCCCCTCCCAGCCAGCAGGAATCCCGCCGTCCTGTGGCTCTGGTCTCCTTATGGACTGTCTTCCTCTCCCGTTTTCTCAACTGAAGCATGAGCTCCTGAGAACAGGGTCAGGTTGTTCAATAGTTGCTCTGTGTCACCCAAGCTGCTTGGCGTATCATGTCATTTCTGAATTCCACTCTCTTGCCTGCCCTAATATGAGTCCTGGGAGGGATTCATTAGACGTATCTTTCAGAGGAAGGGAGACTCTCAGAGTAAGGATCTCCCCTCCAGGCAAAAAGCCAGGAAACAGCAGAGCCAGGATCCACACTTGGGTCTCCTGGTCCTAGTTCAGGGCTGCTCCTTCTCCCGGTGCAGCTGCTCTTGGCAGGAATTGCCCCTAACTTCCTACCCTAGAGCTCTTCTCCCTAGTAGATATGTCTTTGTTGGAGAACACTCCTGCATGACCTGCTGGATCACGGAGGTAAGAGAGGGCTGTGTGGACAAGTAGCACTTGAATTTCCTGCATGAGACACTGAAGAGAATTTGGAGTTGAGTGTTTCCCTCTCCAAAAACAAACAAACAAACGGATGACTACATTTTGCAAAAGATCAGGAGGAATTACACATAAACATGACCAGTGAAACATTCCCTAAGGAGGGCTGGACAGAAAGATTTTGAACAGGAAGGTTTCATTTTTCTGTCTGTGATCTCCTACTCTTGGTTCAGCTGGTTAAGAAAAATCACTATACACAGTTGTCTCAAGGGTCAGGGAAAGGTGGTGATTTGTATTTTGAGTCGGTGGAGCAGAGGGAAGAGACTCACCGGAGTGGAGGAGAGCAGGGGATGATATACCAGAAGGCAGTGGGGAGAAGGTGCACAGAGACAAGGAAACTGGAATAGAAGGGGCATGAGAAGGTTAGCCCCGGAAATTCGCCAGTGTCTTGGGGAGAGCTGAACCACCCCCAGGTGAGGGCCAGAGATTAAATCCAATTTTATTTAGATCTTCCGAGTCAAGGTGACTTCGACAGACATTTGGATGCCAATAGATTGACAGTAGCCCTCTCTACATTTTCAGAATGAGGAGCAGTAGGTGGATGATAAAGGGAGCAATGATGTTTTATGAAAAAAGAAAAAAAAAAAAAGGAATCGTTCCGTTTCCCAAAGTCCTACATTTTGGAGGAGGGAAGGTGTTAGCTGAAAACTTTCCTGATGATGAAAGTTGAATCATCTGCTGAAGAGCAAACTTGATGGCATTTAAAATGCATGGGTTTTATCTCCAGAGCAGACATATGGATGCTCTGATGCTTCTTAGCAAACTCCAGGCTTCAGTCTCCTGCGAAGAGCTGTTCCTGGGTCTAAGAGATAGGTGACAATGCACATGTTATAATCTCTAAAACAAAAGCCTATTATGTTCTAATTTGGCTGTTCATTGGCCTAACAGGAATGGAAAGGGGGCAGGAAGTGAGGAGGTGACAGTTTCTGGCTGCTGATGACCCGCAGAGCCCACGGAGTGACCGCAGATAATGCCCCATCTTTCTCAGCCACCCAGACTCACTGAACTTAGATCCTGCAGCTCTGACAAGGGCCAAGGGAAGCAGAGAATGGCAGCTGCATCAGTTGTGGTGGGAGTGATTCTTGGTGCCTCTCTGTCCTGTTGTTCCCTGAAGCCGAAGCTGTGGGTCTGGGCAATCTGCACAGCGAGGCGACTAGAACCTCTGAGGGATGCTGCAGTCTAGAACGATCCCTGGCCTAATTCAAGAATGGAAACATGGCTCTTCCCTCAGGGGCTGATGATGTCACCGGAGCAGTGAGTTATATTCCCTTCAAAAGGACCCATGCTGCAGCTTCCTCCACTGCTGTCTTTACTCCCTGGACAACCAGCTCCCACTGCTCCTTAGAGGCCGGGTGCCCAGTGTGCGGGCTTTCACACACCACCTCCCCGAATCCTCATCAAAACCCGACGGCAAGGGCGCTGTCATCCTAACTACGCAGGAGAAAACTGAGACTCGGAAACTTAAGTGACTCATTTCCCATCTGAGTGGATTACTCAGGAAAAGAAAAGGAAATTAGCATGAGATTTGGGAGGAAGTATTGAATAACGACTATCAGCAAAGGGCTTTTTGCTTAGACAAATCTGAGTTGGAAGCCCAGCTCTTCAACTTCCGGGCTGTGTGAGCTTGGGCAAGTCCCTCAGCTGCTCTGAGGCTCACTTTCTCCACCTGCAATGTGAAGATAATCCTACTACCTATTCCAGGCCTCCTGCGTGGCAGGTGATCCAGAATTTTATCTAATCGTCTCCTTGCTTTTATTAAATGACGGTTATTTTTTCTCTGCTCACCAATCAGGTAAGCCCATCATATGACTCCCTACAGGTACGATGATCTTTAAGGTAATTCTTTTTAAAGCGTCTCTCAAGATTTCAGCTCTGGAAGGGCATTCTTTTTCCAGGTTTGGGAGGTGGTGATAAATGACTAAGGGCCAGACCTCAGTCCCACTAAGTTCCATTTTAATCTCTGTGTTTACCATCAGTGTTGTTACTCCTAGCACAACTGAGACTACCTGGAGTTTGCAAAAGGAACATGAGTAACCACTGTATCAATGATCTATGGCTGTGTAACCAAACACCTCAAACTTCAAATAAAAATTATTTATTATTGCTTAGGATTTTGTGGTTCTTCTGCTGGTCTCTCCTGGGTTCTCTCCTATGGTTGAAGAATGGAATGGAATGGCTGGATAGTCCAAGGTGACCTGGCACAGACGTCTGGGAGTTGGTGCTGCTTCTGAGCCTGGGCACCTCGATTTTCCTCTACACGGCCGTTCATCCTTGGGTAGACTTATCAGCTTCCTCACAGCACAGCTGCCTCAGGGCAGAGCTCCAAGAGGACAAGTGCCTGTGTGTAAGCATCTATCAAGCTTCTGCCTGAGTCATGATTGTTCGTGGCCCACTGGCCAAAGCGATTCACATGGCCAAGCTCAGTGTCACGTGGGAGGTGACGTAGACTTTATCCCTTGATGGGTAAAGTGGCAAAGAATTTTAGCCATTTTTGAATCCATCACAATTACAAGCATAAAATATAAAAAATAAATAAATAAAGGGAAGGCATCTGGAAGATATAATAAGAATAAAAAGAATCCAACCTGCAGTGTAAGGATTTCTTGTCTTCCTTGTCTCTGAGAGCTTTCAAGCCCTGCCCTATCCCATATCCTTTCTGAGTGAAGCACCACCCACTAGCCCTTGGGCGAGCAAACTTGGTAGGAACCTTGCCTGTCTCCTTCCTTTGCATCCCCTGGCAGGTTGCTAAAGCACCATCTGACATATTCTCCTTTGGGAACTGCTGTACTCCTTTATTTCTTAAACTTTGTTCGGGGGACAACTTTACTTCTATAGTCTCCTCACCCCCTGCCCCAAGGCCCCTCCAGCCCAGTAACCGGGATCTGCTTCCAGGACTGAGGGATGTGATGGATCAACTGATCTATTATTACTACAATAATTTTTGCTAATTGAAACTGCAATGTAATTATTACTTTTTGTTAATCCTATTAACATTTTGGAGACTACCTTTTAGCCTTATTTTAATTAATAGAGAAATATAAGTATTTCTTATGGAAATGGCTTATTATTATACTTACTGTTGCCTCACATGCCTTTTGAATTAAAATTCTAAACTAAGCGTCTTTCCAAATCTCTTTTTGTATCGGTGTTTACATAAATATTAATCTAATCAACACACAGTATATAAACAAATATTTTGAATTTTTAAGATCTGACTAATATTACATTTGTGTGGTGGTGCTAAAAAATATTTAATCAATCTCCTGATGATGAACATTTAGGTTGTTGTCATTTCTTTTACTAGAATAAACCATGTTGCAATGAATACCCTTTACCTACAACTTAATAAACTTATTATGATTGCTTTTTTAGTATATATTCCTGGAAATGGGATCACTGGGCCAAAGGATACATAGAATTTATACAACCGACTTTGTCAGCTTGCTTATTAAATAATTTTACGAGTTCATATTCCCAAGGATTATGCACAAGGACAAGAACACCCCTGTCCTCCCAGCTTTCTTGTGATGATGTTTGAAAGCCCAAGTTTTGTTTTGTTTTGTTTTTCCAAGAGAACAAGCAACGAGCTAAAAGTTGAGTATTTCAGCCCGGGGAAAGAGGAAAATCCTAAACTAAACAACTTAATTTTCTGACAGCCTGAGAGCAGCCCGGCTGAGAACATCTCAGCCCAGGGCTCCCTGGAGACTGAGAGGAGAGAGAAGTCAGAAAAGCAATTGAAGGAAAAGCCCAGTCCCCTGCGCTCAGTGAAACAGCAGTCTCCTCGCTGCTGATCAGGCCTCACACTGGGGCCCCCAGGACTGGGTCAGGGCACATCCAAGGGGGCCTCCAAGGCCAGACTGTTGACACCTACCCCCCGCAGAAGGACCCTCCCCCACTTCAGAGGCTGTGATATTTTTCAAACCTAATACAAATCCCTCACTGTCCTGTGATGACCATAAGGTACCAAAATAGCCCTGTCTCCTATGGGGAAGGTATCATTTCCACTCAGACCTGATCACTGCTTCAAGTTTTGGGACCGCTATGACTTGGCAAGGAAAAAGTCCTCATTTATCCTTTGACAAGCTGAACAGAAGTATTCCAGGTACCCACCATGGACGCAACCTTTCCTGCGACTCAAAACCCCAAACTCCATCTCCCTTACTCATTGCTTTCCCCCCAAAACCTCCTCTTGTTACACTTAGAACTTCCTTCTACTTACATGTAGGACTCTGCAACAGAAAATAGTTAAAAGAATTTTGACATTTGGAGGCTCCTCTCAAATAGTATTAGAAAAGGGATTTTTATCTCTTTGTTATGCTCTAAGCGTCCTGATTAATGTCTGAAGTAACTCTGGGGATTTTTTTGTGAAGGTCTTCACAGGGCTTTGCCTGGGGTCTTAACGCAAGGGGAATGCATGCTCTGGGGCTGGGGCTGGATATTATAGAGCTTCAACTATTTTGCTTCCATTTTGCTTATAAAATATTATATGTATATATTTTCTCTTCTAGGCCAGGGTAACTGCTGAGGAAGAAATGCACCGGCCAAGTCTTACCCTGTGGCAACCTTTTGGTAAGGTGAGGGCCTTCCAGAATTCTGAATATCAAAGTAAATCTTTGTTATAATAATATCTTATTTCTTCATACTTGAATGCAAAAATTTGATGGCTTTTCATTTATATTATTTATTCATGTCAGAGCAAAAGGTGCCCTTAGGAATCAATCTTTTAATTCAAATCCCTCATTTGGAAAAACTGCAGCCCAGAGAGAGGACACAAGGTGCCTAAGCGCATATATATCTTGTTACCAACCAAGCTCTGGACCAAAGTGTAATCCTTATGATGTGTGGTGAGAGGTATTTCCTTTGCCTCTGTTTTAGAGCTTTTCAGGGGATCTATTTTGAACCTATTTCTAAGTGGTCTTTAGGCACCCGGCACAGTGGTGGGCACTTTACAGTTTATCACACCAATTATCCTCATAATTCTATCAGTACCATTATCCTCATTTTACAAGGAAGGTTTTGGAAAGGTTTTACAAGTTGCCTAATACAATGTATTCATTTTTTATGGCTTCCATAACAAATTATCACAAATTTAGTGTTGTAACACAAATTTGTCCTCTTACTGTTTAATAGCTCATAAGACTGAAATGGGGTCTCATTAGGACAAAACAGGATGCTCAGAGCATTGTTTTCCTTCATGGAGGCTCTGTGTGAGAATCTGTTTTCTTGCTTTCTCTGGTTGCTAGAGGCTTCATGGCTCATGGGCACCTTCCTTGATCTTCACAGCCAGCAACAATGGGCCTGATCCTTACATTATATCTCTCTGATCCTTTGTCTTCCATCTTGTCTCTCTCTAACTACAGCCAGGAAAGGTACTCTGCTTTTAAGGACTTCTGTGATTATTAGCTCAGGCTCACTCAGATAATCTAGGACAATCTCCCCATCCTCAGGGTTTGTAATCCAGTTGCAAATCCCTTTTTTCCATATAGGGTAACATATTCACATGTTAGAGCATGAGCATACTGGGGAAAGTCATTATTCTGCCTACCCCAGTCTTCCCTCTGGTCCTCAAGGACATCTGTCCTACATGCAAAATACATTCTTCCTATGTCAAGTTCTCCAAAGTCTCAACCATTATGTGAGAGAAGCTAGTATGTGGCAGGGTAGGCCTCTGGTTCCAAAGCCCACTTGATGGCTGGCCAACAGCACATGCTGCCATTTTGCTAAAACATGGAGATGCTGTTCTTTTACTGATTTGCATGAGCTCCCAAATCACAGAGAGTTAAACTGTCAGCTCTGTGAAGGCAGGAGACTGTCTAGTCTGTTAGTCATTCCATCCCAGCACCTACCACAAAGCAAGCACTCAAATTTTGCAAAGCAAATGAATGTGGAAGAAAGCAAGTATTTAAGTAAATCAATGGCCTAAGCAGTGTATGGAGACATAGAGTCATTACTTATTTTTCCTGTTGCAAAAAACCTTGAATTCTCAGTGTTTTTCTGAGCCATTTGAAAACAGATTTCAAACCTTAGCAGAGCCAAAGTTGCTCTTCCAGGTAAACTTATCCAGCTGCCTATGCTCCATCTGGGTTTTAATTACTAGTAAATGTCTTTTCAGGCACTGTGATTCTACCAAAACTGGATCTCAGCCCATGGATTCTGTTTTAGGTTTAAATATAGCCACTGAACTTATAGATTGCCAAATATTTGTTATTCTCAGTATACTTGGGTGTATTCTGGGTAAGCATCCTGATTATTTTTGTAGATAGAATACTCTGCTGTCATTTTTCCTAACATCCCCCCCCCGCCCCGTGATGATTTCTCCAATGGAACACAGGAGAAAACAGTATCATTTTCCCAAAAAAGTATTTAAAAAAATAATTTAGCTTAGGGGTGCCTGGGTAGCTCAGTCAGTTAAGCATCCAACTCTTGGTTTCTGTTCAGGTCATGATCTCAGGGTCATGAGATTGAGCCCCACATCAGTCTCCACACTAGATGTGGAACCTGTTTAAGATTCTCTCTCTCCCTCTGCCCTCCCCACCCCCCGCACCATGTTCCCGCTTTCTACCTCTCTGAAAAAAAAAAAAAAAAAAAAAATTAGCTTAGATTAGTACTAGCCAGGACTGGGAGTGGGAATAGGGATTAACTGTGAATGAACACAAAGGATTTTACTGTAGTGATAGAAGTGTTCTAAAACTGGGTTTTGATAATAGTTGCACAACTGAGTAATTTCTCTAAAGATTTTTAAATTGCGCACTTAAAATACGTGAATTTTCTGGTACATAAATTATACCCCAATAAAGTTGTTAACAAAGTAATTTGCCTATCATCCACTCAAAAGCACTGCCCATGTTTTGTGTTAAATGTGATTATTTTTTACCAAAGCAGTCTCTAAATACAGTTCCCATAATAATAAAACCTAAACTTCTTCAACTGTATCTTGGTCTATTAATAAGCAGAGCTGAGCATGGTCACACTTAGCTGCCCCAGCAGTAAACATGTCATGCTTGTTTGCCTTTTTCTTCCCAAACAATTTAAGAGCAAATAGACATTCATTCTTAATCTTTGCAAAATTTTGATATTTGGTTTATCTTAAATTTATCGGAGTAATTGTTTTGATATGATTCAGAACCATGCATTTTTTATGTCCTGTGATTCATTTCAAAGGAGTAATTCAACCCCCAGTCCATCAGTGTGCTTTTATAAAGACAATTCAGTTTCCCATGACAAATAAAACCAATATGCTGCTATATACACAGTAGTTAGATAAACAAAAAGAGAAAACCTCATACTTACCAGCTTTTCAGCGTTTGTGGACTTGACCGTCAGCCACTTAAATGCATTTATGGGCAAATATACACAGTATCAAATATAGAAACGTGTACACTGTTGCAAAAAAATATTCTTTAAGGGATTACTAGGTTTAGGGGCACCTGGGTGGCTTAGTCAGTTGAGTGGTTGAGCAACAGACTCTTGATTTCGGCTCAGGTCATGATCTCAGGGTCTTGCGATGGAGCCCTGCCTCAGGCTCTGCACTGAGCATGGAGCCTGCTTAAGATTCTCCTCCTCCCTCTCTCTTTGCATCTACCCACCCCCCCATCCTGCTCACTCACATGCTCTCTCTTCATTCTGAAATTGTATAAATAACTCAGGAGCTTGATGGACAATTCTGTGTTCCTTAGACAGGGACTTGGACTGGCCCTCTCCTCATTAGAGAGAACATCATGGTACAAGTTTAGAGTCTCCAGGCTTGGTTCCTATGTGGACCTTCGGCTTCATTTCTTGCTCTCTAGTCCAGTGTTTCTTTCCCATGAGGATCATTGACAAACCTGGTGGAGCTTGTAGAAGTGCAAATTCCAAACCTATGGAAGCAGAATCTCCAAGGTAGGATTCCAGGACTCAGCATCTTTAACAAGAGCAACAGGGTCATTATTATAATGCACGTTAATATCTAAAATATTTGATCTGAGGATCTTGCCAATATTTAAAGATTCAGTATGGACTCTTCAGATTTATTAGCATTACAAGAAAAAGTGTTTCAAAGCAGTGTTTATCAAGCTTTAATGTGCACATGGATCACCTAGGGATCTTGTTAAGATGCCGACTCTGATTTCAGAGGTCTGGAGAGGAGCCTGCGTTTCTGCATTCTAACAAGACGCAGGGATGCTGCTGCTGCTGGTCCATGGGCCAGACTTTGATTAACGGGCCTTCAAAGCATATTCAGGCCATGCTAGAGGATCAGAATGCCTCCCAGAGGACAGAGCACAGCGGCTGCCCCAGAGACCATTCTGTGTGAATGCCCTTCCAATTGGAATGAGAGCAAGTGTGCTTCTGGGAATCTGGGCTAGGTGTAGGGGTCCGATGCCTCTCTCAGGCTGCAGAGAATGGAGCCAAGGAAGGGACGAAAGTAACTGTGGGGGGGTCAGGAGAGGCATAACCTGGGAATGGAGCCATTTAGGAGGTCTACCTGATCACAAATGTAAGGGCCAGAGAAACAAGGCACGTAGACCCTGGAAATAGAGACTGAAGATGGAGAACAAAGTCAACATGTCTGGAAAAAAGGACAGGAGACAGACCTAGGGTTCCCTGAATGCTGAGAGGTATCTGCAGAGGACATTTACAGAATGTCTGCCACTTCACCATAGGTGGGGAGGAAGCCACTATGAACTCAGCATCCTCTGTTCAATCCTGGATGCATAATGTTCATACTTTTATGGCACCATAAATTATTTTTTAAATGATCTATCCTAATTATTTGAAGGAGTAGTTCCCAAACTAAAATATGTCCAAGAATCACGCAGGGAACCTGGCCCTTTCCTGGTTGAAATTCAGAGCATTATTTGTCCTCCAGGAAAACTGTAAGGTAGTATTGTGTATCCAGAATAATACAGAGTAGCAATGAAATGAAATAAAATGAAATAAATAGTATTGATTGTATCATTACTCTGCAGTGTGATGTTGCTCAGTTTTCCTCTCATACCTTAGCTTTTTCTGCAAGAAGTCCCGCCCCCCATGCAACAATAACTACTGGTGTGTGTGTGTGTGTGTGTGTGTGTGTGAGAGAGAGAGAGAGAGAGAGAGAGGGAGAGAGAGATTGATTTTATAATTCTATAGTTAGCAAGTTCTTTTTTTATTATTTTATTTATTTATTTTTTTTGAAAGAGAGCACAAGTGGGGGAGCAGAGGGGCAAAGGGAGAAGGAGAGAGAGAGAGAAGCTTAAGCAGGCTCCATGCCCAGCATAGAGTCCAACGTGGGGTTCGATCTCATGACCCTGAGACCATGACCTGAGCTGAAATCAAGAGTCAGACGCTCAACTGACTGAGCAACCCAGGCGCCCCAGCCTAAAAAAATATTTTTTTATACCAATTGTCTCATTCACTCTTCAGAACAATCTAGTAGGATAGCTATTGTTATTTGGCCTCATTTTACAGATAAAGAATCAGAGTTAGACTAAGGAATTTGTATAAAATCACATTACAGAGGGTCACTGGCCCCAGATCCTACACTCTGACCACCATATCAGATGCCTATTGATATTGGCTGGAAGGGTCAATGGGCCACAGCACTTTCCTTCTCTCA